AGGGCCTAATTTTGGAAAAAAAATATTAGAAATGTGGGAACATAGGGCTGTGGGAACATAGGGCTGTGGGAACATAGGCACGCTCCCCTGGTTATCCACAGGGAGATATGGCAGCATAGCCTGAGTGTGAGTGGCTTCCACAGCCATTTGACAGGTACGTTATTTAATTTGCTGGATTGTCCTAAAGCAGACACTTCTCTCCAGCTGTTTTATCCATTAAAAGTTTCTCAATAGAAAATCTGACCTCACACTAACACGAGATACTTTTTTTAATCTCTTTTTCTTTTATCACACTTTTAATCTATTATGGTCATTTGAAGTCCGCTACCGCCTCTTCTTACATCTTGCATTTATGTATTAATGTAATTTTAATTGAAGACCTCTTCGTGTAAACTAGGCTACACTGAATTCAAATTATAAATGCGTTTCACAGCTGTAACTTAATGGCTGTGACCCATAGAGATACCGGTACACGCTGCATCGGCCGTCAGACCGAACGTCAACGTCGTCGCCATATTGGACCGGGCAACATGCCATAACTCAAAAACATGCCTGACTCATGTTCAGGTTGAGGCTGTAGCACAATAATATATGTATAATTATAATATATAGAACATAATATAATAATTATATGTATAATAACAATATTTGTTATATATGTTTGTATTCATTTTGTATTGCACTAAAATGAAATAAAATTGGTTAATTTCTTCTAAAGTTTGCATGCATATATAATAATCAAAAAATGTTTAATGTTAGTATGTCTATGTCTCTGAGCGGTATGCTAATAAGTTTGGTTTGGGGTAACACAGCTCAGTTAGCTAACGTGCTAGCTTGTTAGCTGACACTCACATTACCTCACCTGGCTACTTGTACGTTTTAATGTTTATTAAATAACTAATTTAACTGTACAGTATCAATTCCCTCTGAAATATCTCACCTCCTCTGTTTTTTCTGATGTTTTTCTTGACACACAGGAGCTCCTGGTCAATCTTTTTCTTCAGAAATGCTTTCTTCTTCATCAGCAACTCCTCTCTCTCTGGAGGTTTCTCTATCTCCTCTTGTTGGCCGGGCTTCTTTCTCACCTTTTCTCCTCCACTGAACATCTTAACAAATAAGGACATGTCCGTGCTTCTGGCTGAAAGGCTAAATGAACCCCTAATCTACAGTGTTCAGGAGGAGGTGTTGCACTGAATAATTGTGTAAAGATGGTTTGTAGCTAACGTTGTCCCTCCAGCTGCCTGTAACCCAGAGACCACTTTCAAAACAAAATACACACTTTGTGCAATACCAAGCAGACAATTTTTCTGGATTATTATTTTTCCAACTGGAATGCAATGATCTAGTAAAAAACACATCAATTTATTGTTTTGTTTTTTTGCCTCAGTTCAAGGAAAGCTGCATGTAACAAGACATGTCTGTACTGTGAAACCCAATAAGTTAGTTCAACTCAAACTGTTTGAGGACACAGATTGCCTTCAACTGTTTTTT